AAGCACAGCCACGTGGCTGCACTTTTCCCTTTCAATTGTGTTGAGTTTTCTCAACACCTCTCTCTTCCAACACACACTCAACACCTCTCTCAACACTCATTGGAGGAGATTTTGCATGTTGAGTTCAAACTCAACATACCCATTGCACATGGTCTTATGCAATGTGGTGGAGTGTTCACTGACAGACTCAGGCATAATCTATAAAATTATAAACCAACAGGTTAATAGAGTACTAAGTGTCATATAATAATTGATTATAACACAAGTTAAAACGGACAAGTTAGTAGAGTGGTAAGTATCATTTACGAGAACATTCCTTGCAGTTAAAACGAATTTTGTGACTTTTTTCCAAGTACATGCATCCATAAACTCATCAGAACAAATGATATTAACTACTCTTGATAATTCATCCAAATCCAACATATGGGAAAGATAGGACAATTTACCAACCATGTTTGCCGTGTATTTAAAAACTTGTTCTTCTTCCTGAACCCTGTGAAAATTAAATAGAAATATATGCAAGGTATATAACTATATCATTAGGTGCAGAAAGAACAACTTTGAAGAAGGAAAAAATATTGTTGTTCGAACTTACGTGCTTTGAGAAGTATTATTATCCATGTTGAGTTGAATGGTGATGTTGTTGCGATGGAGAAGTAGTACTCACAAAAGAAGGACTGGTATAAATAATAGTTGAGTGGTATATGCATGTTGATGGAGTGTGATGTTGGATAAAAAAATACTATTGAAAAAGTGAAATGAATTTGGGCTTGTTGAGCACTAGTCTCCTAAAAAAGATTTTACTGTAATGAGTACAACCAGTTCTAGTTGGTGAAGTACAATCATGTCCTATATAGTAGTTAAGACCAGCCTTTTCAGACCTTGAATAATGATGTGATGTGGCTTCTATACAAATAATTTTCCTTTGGTGTCGTCACTTTGCACGTGGGCTGTGGCATTGGGCAATGACAATTCGCCAACCATGTTTAATTTTTCCATATTTATACGTGGGCAATATCATTAGCTCTAGATGCACTATAGAACCAACGATGAAGTAAAACATCGATTGCCATAAAAATATTCAATTTGAGGTGAAGGTAAAAAATGAATTGATTATCTAAAAGTCTTTTAAGTCTTAGAACATTTAATCTTCAGAAAGAAAGAAAAGGAGAAAAAATGAGAGAAAGAGCATGGTTTACTGCACCAACGTTTGTTTACTCCAAATTTTACGATGGAATTTTTTTAATCCCAATTAATGTGTAAAATAACAGAACAATCAAAAGTAGTAGATTTCATTAGTAGGGAATACACACAATACATTTTGTGAAATATGGAGAATGATCCTCTAACTTTAGCGCACTATACATTTCCCTCCTTTTTTCCATACATTTTTCACTTCTCTCCCTCCTTTTTTCCAAAACTTTTTCACTTCTCTCTCTTAAAATTTTCCTAAACTTAGGGAAAGTCATAAGATCTGTTTCCCTTAAAATCCTAATGACATGGAAGAAGTTGCAATTACGAATACGTGCGAATTTGAAACATAAAATATGTCTAGATTTATAATTGCTCATTCACAAGAAATGACGCCACTCACTGCTGATTTAGATACGTTTCCCGGGGGCGTTGTGAATTAGTATTTTACACTCTACATATGCACCATTCTCTGATAATAATATCAAACTTCGACACCCGTTAACACGAATGTAGTCCCCAAAATATTTTGGAAGATCCTGAAACATAAATGACATTTGTTTAGCATAAACATAAACAATTGTTCATATAAGTTTAGAATCAGAAATGGATTAAATGACTTTACCATAAATGAATTCTTTGTTGCTGCATAGTCTGACAGAACAATCTCAAAGAATTTTGTGAGACCAACTTTGGTACTACATCTATGATAATGTGTAAAGTGTGCAGGGGTGGTAAAATCCCTTAGAAGGTAGATTTTGAATTTAGATTGCTTGTAATACTCAAACAATATCTCCTTAGTTGAATGAAAGCCATGACATGCTCTCAATTCTTGCCACCCGGTAGTGAGAAGAGGTTTATGTTTGTCATTATGGAACCCTAAGTCGTGTTTTTTCCGTTTTCGTCAAAACAGACCCATATGTCTTGAAGTTCAGTCGCAAAATTCTCAACAAAGTTGGGAAAAACCTCTCTTATGCCTAAAAAAATGGAGAACAACGTCTATCTCAAAAAACAGAAAAACATGAATACGAAGAACATCAACATTGTCTTACAAAGTGGTGTTAATAAAAATGATAACATGATTCTGTAAATGAATAGTGGAAAAACTCCCCTTGAGCATTTGCCCTGAAAGCATTTCTGATCTTTCCATAGACTCATAATAACAAGCAGACAACACAGGGTTAAGTAGATAATGTTGGTTGATTGTTACTGAGACGAGCGGGTATTTATAACAAATAGAAATACATTTTTTTAATAAAAAGTGAGACACAGGAAACGAGAAAGTTGTAAAATTTGTCTTTAAAAACCAATGTTTAGGTTTACTCATGCAGTGAATATGACAAGATAACCTTCATTTTTAATTTTAAAAAAATTTCACAGGACTGTTGACTTCAAGAATTCCAATATTATTTTCCAACAATTTTTTTTTATTTCACCACTCATTGTTTCACGAATTCCAATATTTTTTATTTCATGTTTTCCAATAATTTAATCAAATCAAATCAATGTCCATTGTACTTGGTAAAAATCCGGTTGAAAAGCCATCAACTTAAAAAATCAAGGGTTAAATGCATTTTATTCCCGTGCAATAGTAGCGAGTTTTTATTTATCCCCCTTTTAAAAAAATTCTTTAACCCCTCAACAAAATAATATTCCATCAAATTTGATCTTGTGTCAAGATTCCTGCAGAATCTACATACGTGGCATTTGACGTGATTTTTCTTAATATTTTTTTTAAATTCCACGTGGAAATTCAATTATTTTTTTAATTTTTTTTAATTTTTTATTTATTTATTTAAAAAAAAAAATGATTTTTTTTTTAATTTTTATTTTCTCCCACTTAGACAAGCTTATTGTTTTGTTTTATTTATTCCATATTTATTTTGTGTGGTACTTAATTTTGTTTTTTTTAGACGGTCGAGATTTTGCCGACAAATGTTGAATGGTTTGCTCCTTGATTCTGACAACATGAGGGTGACAAAGATCGAGTATCGAGAATATTTTATAGGTACTAATGGTTGGATAAAATACAAACTGATCAAGTTGAATCATCGATAATACAATTTTAAACAAACGCTTGACATAATGAAGACTAGAAGAAAAAAACAAAATCAAGGTCAATATAAAAAACAATTCGGTGAAAACCATGAATTATTTTATCAGCAAAAAAATTTTATGATGCACACATTATATAATAAAATATTAAGTTTAATTAAAATACATTGTCAATTTAAAACTATTTTATATTGTTATCTAATTAAAATTAATTATTTTGACATATAAAAAGAGAAAAATATGAAAGAAATAGTTATTAAAAGAATTTAATTCTAATTGGGTGATCGTGTAAAATTAATTAGTTTCTAAAATATTTAGTCTAAGTTGTTATTACTTAGGCATTATTATTAGGTTCTCACAGGTATTCTGAATTATTAGTATTGAAGATAGATAAATATAGTACTTTATATAAGAACCCAATTGCGTGTTTTAAATAGGACATATTTAGTTTGAAATCTTGCTCTTGTAAGTAGGGTTGAGTATCCCTAATACTCCCTTTTTATGTTTTTTTTTAGAAGAAAAAAAAACCTCAACAAAATACAATGTATTTTAACTAGTAATTTATTAGATTCGTATTTTCTACTCACGTGTATATTATATTTTCGATTGTGTATATTATTAGATTCGTATTTTCGACCATCTAAAAAAATAAAATTAAGTACTACCAAAAAAATTAAATACAATACAAAATTAATGTATCAAATTAATATGAGATAAATAAAACAAACAATAAGTTTGTCCTAGTGGGAGAAAATAAAAATAAAAATAAAAAATTTAAAAAAAGTTTTAAAAAAAATTAAAAAACAAAAAAAATTAAAAAAATATAAAAAAAACTAAAAAAAACAAAAAACAATCGAATTTTCACGTGGAACTTAAAAAAAATAAAAAAAAAAACAAAAAAAAACACGTCAAGCGCCACGTATGCAGATTCTGCTGGAATCTTGATCCAAGGTAAGTTTGAGGGAATCTTGTTTTGTTGAGAGGCTAAAAAGAATTTTTTTAAAAAGAGGGTAAATCAAAACTCGCTACTATTGCAATGGGTAAAATGTATTTAACCCAAAAATCAATATAATATATTTCTTCGCACTTTCCAACTATTTAAACAACTCAAAATCTCTAAATGGACCAATATTATTAATAGTATTTTTTTTACACTTCCCATTATTTTGCCACTACGTAATTGTTTCAACGTGTTTGTTTTTGACGGTGAAAAAAAAAACGCTTTTTCTTAATTCTCCAATTCGTAGCTTCTACTTTTTCATGTTTTTCTACGTTGAGCGATGTTGCGGGCGTGCTTTTTTATTACCCATCGTGGGTTAAAAATTTGGTCCAATTTAATTTAGACAATATTTAATTACAATCACATTTAGGGTTACTGCAAATTTTTATGCTATTTTAGGATTAAAGGATATGGATCACGTGCTGCCCCAAGACTCAGTTCAGCCCTCTCATGTGCCCTTTTATGTGTCAGTCTCTCTCGTCATTTCATATAATCTCATCTCATCTCTTCACTCCACTTCAATTTTAAATTCTTCTTTAGTTGTCATTACACACATAAATAAAATTGAGTAAAATAATTGAAATTTATCAACTAAAATATAAAAAGGATAACTTGTATCTGAAGTTACCAATTGTGTTGTTTTCTTAATAATAGTAAAGTAACTACAACATAAAACAACGAAAAAATTGCATCCACGTAACAAAACAAGTATTTAATTTCTTTTGCTACATTGATCGATACTATGCAACATTCATCAAACCAACTTCCCCACCCAACCATAATGGTTGTCGTACATATCACACATGTTGAATTGCAGTTGATTTCCAACTCCAATTTCGTTAATGGCTGCGAACACACTCCAACCAGTTGATAATCTCATTACAAATGAGTAAGTGTTAACATCCAACTCACAAAGTTGTGATCTTGAATTTGGACCAACCAGATTTATTGCACACAGGGAAGTATTAAACAAGTATTCCCCCATGGCATCAGGTAAAGTCTGTAATACAATTGAAACAAATTTTAAAATAATATTTGTGGATTAAAATAAATATATCACAGTTATCAATAACAACACTAATAAGTGGATTGCAAAACCAACCAAATAGCGTATTGTTTTGGGATCCTCTGTTGCACTCAAATCAGTCACACAAGAAGTAGGAATCAATTCCTTAAGTTTATTATGAAAGCTTTGGCTTTTAAATAGCCTTACAAAAATAAACTGCACTTGAATAGTGGAGTTTGTTACACGCATAATTTAAAACAATTTTGAACTAGTCTCTCAAAACTACCTCCTAAAAGGTAGGAGTTTATTTCTGCACTAAACAACTAAAAGATACCACGTCTAACCTAACAATGCCTCTCCTAAACTGATTATTATCACAATCAGTTTATACCCTCACATACTCCTAGTTTTTCTCTTAACTTCATGAATGCATCCAGCTTAAGTGGCTTCGTCATGATGTCTGCGAGTTGTTCTTCTGTTCCACAATGAATCAGCTCGATGACTTCTTCCCTCACAAGATCTCTTAAAAAGTGAAACCTGATATCTATATGCTTGCTTCTCCCATGGAGTACCGGATTCTTTGACAATTTTATAGTTGAACTATTGTCACACATAATCACAGTACTTCGAGCTTGAATCATACCAAGCTGCTCCAAAATCCTTTGCATCCATACACATTGACATGCACACGCAGCGGCTGCAATGAACTCAGCTTCCGTAGTTGACAAAGTCACCACTGGTTGTTTCTTTGATGCCCAAGATACAGCCCCTCCACTTAACAGAAAAACATATCCACTTGTGCTTCTCCTGTCATCTACATCACCTGCATAATCACTATCTGTGTATGCAGCTAATTCATTAGGAACTCCTTTCCTATACATCACTCCAAAACCTGCAGTTCCCTTTAAGTAACGCAATACTCTTTTTGCAGCTTGCATGTGCTGTTCCGAAGGATCCGCCATATATCTGCTTAAGAGACAAACCACATACATTAAATCAGGCCGTGTGACAGTAATATACATCAAACTCCCAATCAGCTGTTTATACAGCGTTGCATCAACTTTAGCTCCACCTCCCTCCTTCGATAATTTTGAACCTGGTACAATTGGATTTTTAACTGCATTTCCTTCGTGAAGATTGAATTTTTCCAGCAACTCTCCAGCATACTTCTTCTGACTGATAAATATCCCTTCTTTCTTTTGGATCACTTCCACACCTAGGAAATACTTCATCTTTCCTAAATCAGTCATGTCAAACTCTTTCTTCATGGAGGATTTGAACTTTGCAAACATCAGGTTATCATTTCCTGTAAATATCAGATCATCAACATACAGGCTAACGATAAGAATTTTATTGCTTCCTTCCTTCTTAATGAAGAGTGTATGCTCATAATCACATCTTTGAAACCCCTCTTTAATGAAATACGCCTCAATCTTACTGTACCAGGCGCGAGGTGCCTGCTTTAGCCCATATAGTGCCTTTCTAAGTTTATAAACTTTCTCCTCTTCTCCCCTTCGAACGTATCCCGAAGGTTGTTCTACATATACATCTTCTTCCAGCTCTCCGTGCAAAAAGGCGCTTTTCACATCAAGTTGATAAACTCTCCATTCTTTCTGAGCTGCTATAGATAGAAGCATACGAATTGTATCCCATCTCGCCACCGGTGCGAATACCTCATTATAGTCGATCCCTTGTTGTTGTGCATAACCCTTGGCTACAAGTCGGGCTTTGTGCTTGTCCACTTCTCCATGCTCATTGAGTTTAGTTTTAAACACCCATTTAACTCCTATCTTCTTTGCACCGGCTGGTAATTCAGTTAGTTCCCACGTATTGTTTTTTTCAATGGCTTGCAGCTCAATTTCCATCGCTGTCCTCCACTTCTCTTCCACCACAGCTTGCTCAAATGAAGTAGGATCTTCTAAGGCTGCAAACATCACAAAGTTACCAGCCTCTTCCTCATCTGAAAATTCTTCTCCTGTGGTATATTCTTGCAGGTAAGAAGGTGGTTTTCTGACTCTTGTACCTCTCTGTGCTTCTCCTGTGCATGCTATTGAGTTTTCTCCTTCATCCACATCAGGTTCTTCATGCTCTGCCTCATCATCGCAATCTTCCCAAATTAGTTTTTCTTCTTCTGCTCGACTTATATCCTTCTCCCAATTCCAGCCTTCATCTTCCTCAAAAATCACATCCCGACTAATCATTATCTTTTGTGTTATTGGGTTATACAATCGGTATGCTTTCGACTCATTGCTTACCCCAAGTAGCACACAACATAGGCTCTTATCGTCAAGTTTTTTTCTCCTTTGATCTGGAACATGCATGTGGGCTAAGCAACCGAAGACTCTGAAATAGTCTACATTTGGCTTCACTTCACTCCATACTTCTTCTGGTGTTCTCTCCTTTGTCACTGATGTTGGACTCCTGTTTAGCACATGTGCTGCCCATTTAGCAGCCTCAGGCCAAAACCTCTTTGGCACTCCTTTGTCATTCAAAATACATCGAACCATATTCATAATCGTCCGATTTTTGCGCTCTGCTATCCCGTTCTGTTGTGGTGTATAGGCTGCTGTAAGTTGTCTTGTAATACCAGTCTCCTTACAAAATAAATTAAATTCATCTGAGGTAAATTCACCTCCTCTGTCGGTTCGCAGGCAGCATATCATTGATCCACTTTCCTTCTCAACTTGACTCTTATAATGTTTAAAGAATGTAAAAGCTTCAGATTTATCTTTCAAAAAATAAATCCATACCTTTCTGCTGTAGTCATCAATGAGAGTCATCATATATCTTCTATCACTGTTTGATGATGGAGTAATTGGACCACAGAGGTCTGAATGTACCAGTTGCAATTTTCTTGAAGCACGCCATGAACTTTTCTTTGGAATGGTTTTGCGGTGTTGCTTGCCTACTAAACAGTTGGTGCATGCTTTGGTCGCTGCTTTTAACTCCGGCAATCCTGTCACCATATTTCTGAACTTCAAGGTTCTCAAACCTTTGTAATTCAAATGTCCGTACCTACGGTGCCACAACTGGGACTCGTCATTTATTGAGGTCTGCATGCATCTAGGGGTATCAGCAACTTTGACTACTGTTGTTGCTAATAATGCAAACATTCGGTTTGTCGTCATCCATGTTTGCATTATCAACCCTCTCTTCGGATGAAACATCTTGCAGACACCGTGTTTGATCAGAATAGTGAGGCCTCTTTCTTGGAGTTGGCCTATGCTGAGGAGATTACTCTTTAAGTCTGGTACGTAGTAAACGTTTGACACCACTTGGACTGTTCCATCAATATTAAGCCGCACATTTCCTCTTCCCGTGACTTCCATTCGAGTATTGTTTCCTAATTTTACAGAATGTCGATAGTCTTCGTCCAAATCTGTAAACCAGAATTTGTTTCCACACATATGATTACTACAACCTGAATCCAAGAACCATACCTCTTCTTTCTTGGCATTGTTTGACTCCACCATCAACAGCATCTCATCCTCTTCGTCAAATTCTGCATAATTTGCTTTTCTTTCCCATTGTGGACATTCATATTGGAAGTGCCCTAGTTGATGACATTTAAAGCACTCCACGAGTGCTCTGTCTAACGACCTTCCTCTGCCTCTCCCCCTTCCTCGAATCACGTTTCCTCTGCCTCTTCTGCCACGTTCATCATGTGAGATCTTTAGAACTTGTTCTTCTCCTCCTCCATTGGTAGTCTTCTTAAATTTCTGCTCATGAACGAGCAGTGAGCTTTGTAAAGCATCTACAGTTAGATTGTCAATATCTTTGGACTCCTCAATCGAACATACAATGTAATTGAAATTTTCCGTGAGCGTCCTCAAGATCTTCTCCACAATTTTTACGTCTGGCATGTCTTCTCCGCAATTCCTCATGTCGTTGGCAACCACCATAACCCTACCAAAATATTCTGTGACTGACTCCCCTTGCTTCATGTCCAACAGTTCAAAGTTTCTACGCAATGTTTGCAGCTGTGCTCGTTTCACCCTTGCGTTTCCCTGATATTTGATTTTCATCGAATCCCAAAGCTGTTTTGATGTCTCCTTTTGAGTGATTGTCTTCAAGATGGTCTTGTCAATTGAACTGAACAGATAGTTCTTGGCCTTTAGATCCTTTAACCTAGCTTCATCAGTATTCTTCTTTTGGACTGCAGATAGGGTTTCTTCATTTGCTGGTTCAACGAAGCCAGCTTGCACCACGCTCCAATACTCTTTTGACCTAAGAAGGTTCTCCATGAGGAGACTCCAGTGATCATAATCCCCGTCAAACTTGGGAATGCTTGGTTGCGCAAAGCTACTGCTTTCACTCATCATGTACTGATTTTCACTCACTTTGTTTCACTCTTTCTTCCCTTTTTTTCACACAGGCCAGGCTTTTTTGAAGCTCTGATACCAGATTTGTTGCACTCAATAAATCAGTCACACAAGAAGTAGGAATCAATTCCTTAAGTTTATTATGAAAGCTTTGGCTTTTAAATAGCCTTACAAAAATAAACTGCACTTGAATAGTGGAGTTTGTTACACGCATAATTTAAAACAATTTTGAACTAGTCTCTCAAAACTACCTCCTAAAAGGTAGGAGTTTATTTCTGCACTAAACAACTAAAAGATACCACGTCTAACCTAACATCCTCTAACAGTAATCCTGAAAGTCATAACTTTTAAGAGTGCCCGGGTTTTTGTATGCCAAGTAGGGAAATGATGCTGGAGTAGTTGGTTCCATTATGGATATGATATGGAACTTACTTATTCCAAGTACCTGAAGAAGATATGATGATGACCTTGTAAGTTATAATGCTCTCTTAAATCCATCCAACAATTGGTAATCCTTGGGATTTCGTCGTCTTCGTTGAAATCGACCTTGAGTTGAAGACCAGTTGCAGCATATAATCCCCAAATTTTGCCCAGCTCCGATCTAAATTTGTGGTAGAATTTTGTGGCTCAATCTCACCTTGTTCCTAACAACGCACATGAAATAATACATAATATTTCATAAGATATTGCAGTCTTTACATCATTCGACAAACCGAATACCGCATACAAATAAACAAACATTGATCTGTATAAATCCTAATCAACGAACAAACAAGCCTAAACTTCCAACATGAAAACCCTAAGAAACTACTATTACAAAGAACGAAAACCATAAAAGTTACATCTCCTTTGACATGGACAGTCATTAAATGACTCTTTCCTGGTCTTTGAAGAAGTTCACGGAGAGTCACCATTGTTGTTGTTGCCAAAATTCTTTTTTTCTTTTTTATGTTGAAAAGGGGTGTGATGAACTAAGAACCTGAAATAGTGTTTTGTGGAGTTTGGTTGGAAGTGAAATGAGAAGATAAAGTTACGTGAGGTAGACTAAACTCTAAACAAGCATTGAGAAGCGAAATAAATCAAACAACTTTTAATACTACAATCATTACAATCGAAGTAAATAATGATTACTTTTTCCAAAACTACTACACGTTTTCCTTCACTTCCCTTCTATATTGAAGTTGAATAGTATATCGTTTAATACTGCAACTATACAAACAGTGTAAATAAAGATAACTTTTTCCAAAACTTTTTGTTTGCATCTGAAAAGTAATGTGAGAGATATTTGATATTAAAAAGGAAAAATGTGGCCAACTGGCCATCATTACTCATATAAGGAGTATTTTCCTAAAATTACGTTAAAGTTTTATTTATCACATATGATCGATTGAATGCCACACCGCAATAATTAAACTTTTTTTTTTACAATTTGAAATGTGATGAGAGAGATTAATATTAAAATGGAAAAAAATTAGTAATCATTACTCGTTTTTTTCCGAAAATGAAAGTATTATTGTATTAATCGTAACGATATTAAAAAAACGTATTAATCATAACTTTAATGTTTGTCATTGTTAACTTTTAGTATTAATGGAAATAATTTTTATATATACGATTTTTAAAAATATTATTTAATTCATATATATAAATCATTGAAACTATTTATAAATTATTTTAAAAAATAGTATTATAAGTTATTGAAACTATTTATAATACTATTTTGGCTTAAATGCAATTTTGATCCACCTAGTTTAAGGTTTTTGGAGTTTCGATCCCCCTAGTTTAAAAGCCAGGTTTCTAGTCCCCATAGTTTTCAAATTTGGGATTTTTGAAGCCCCTCCATCTGGCTGCCCAAAAAATTTTCAAATTTGAGATTTTTGAAACCCCTCCATGTGACATGGCACAGGGAGAGTAATGTCACGTATTATTTTCTTATTTCTTATTTAGAATAATATTTTTTAAACATTTAAATAAGTGATATTAATTTCCAAATGAATTTTTAATTTCATAATTCATATTTTCTGAAAATCCCAAATTGCTTAACCTAATTTCGTCTTCCATCCGCCCGTACGAGATTTCAAAAATCCCAAATTTGAAAACTTTTTGGGCTGCCAGATGGAGGAGGCTTCAAAAATCCCAAATTTGAAAACTATGGGGACTAGAAACCTGACTTTTAAACTAGGGGGATCGAAACTCCAAAAACATTAAATTAGGGGGTCAAAACTGCATTTAAGCCTACTATTTTTTATTTAATTATCATTTATTATAAATAGTTTCAATGATTAAAAAAGTTAATACTAAAATTAAATGGAAATGTGCATCAAATTCATAAATTAAATAATATTAATCTACGATTCAAATGGCATAATCTTCATATTAAACATTTTGTTATACTTATATAACAACTTTTCAGATACGGGAGTGCACAAAATTAAACAAAACAACCTAATTGTATTAGGTTTCAACTATTAAGTAAATGAAGAATATCAACGTCTTAACAAAGAAACATAAAGCCTATCCGGTGGATACTGAATCTTAAATCGAAAAATCCCCCTCCTCGAAGATTCTTCTTCCGTGCGTACTTATACCAACCCTTTCCAACATACTTCTGATACTTGTTACGTTTGGCACTGCGTATTTCTCCATAGAAACTATCTCTATCTTCTTCGTCGATCGGTTCAATGCCTGTTTGGTTGAAATAAATCCATTTCTTTGATACATCCATTGGAAAATGTTGCATAACAACCAGATAAATTTCGTATCTATGAATGTATATCAAATTTTTTTTTTACAAATAAAAAATATATTGACTAAAACTAAATATAAAAAAACAACTTCAAAGATTCATGGACTCTTACCAAAACATTCATCTTTGCATCAACTCATTTACTAATCACCTTTTCCCATTGGAAGTCATCATCTAAGCCGAAATCAAAATTGCTGCCATTATCATCTGGATCAGGATTAGGATCATTGTAATATGCAACGGTCACACACGCCAGTGTGCACTTAATATCTTCGATTGGGTCGTACGAATTGAAAAAACAATAAAACACATTGTCAATATGTTGTTCCAGATCCATAAATATGTATAACTAAAAAAACTAAAAAACACAACATAAACTGATTTAAACACCAATAAGTACCTTGTCATCGAGTCTTCGTCAAGTATATATCCATATGAAGGCGACCTCCAACCATTCATGATATTATTCCCGTGCATGTCTTTGTTGTTCTGAGCGACAATAATTTTTAAATTCACCTGACAGTGTTTTTTGTTTTGAGTCAAAAGAAGATGAAGAGAAGGAGAGTCAAAAGAATATGAAGATAAGGAAAAGGAAAGAATGAACCCTAATTTATATATATACGAATTCGAGGAGCCTGATATGTTTAGGCCACCGTAGCGGATCCGCGTATATTTTGTGGATCTAAATGAAAATATTAGAAATATTTTATTTCCATAAAAATGTCCATCTATAGTTTCCCATCAATAAACTCAAGATGAATATATTCTTAAAACAAAAATATAACAATATTCCACTTAAATAAAAAATTAATAATATTAAGTGGAATATATATATATATATATATATATATATATATATATATATATATATATATATATATATATATATATATATATATATATATATATATATATATATATATATATATAATATATATATATATATATATATATATATATATATATATATATATATATATATAAATTTGAACTTGGAGTCATACATGTTGATTCATAGTTCACTCATTCCATTTGAACTTGGAGTCATACAAGTTGATTCAAAGTTAACTTATTCCATTTGAACTTCTGGTGAATACATGTTGATTCATAGTTGACTCATTCCATTTGAACTTATAGTCAATACAAGTTGATTTAAAGTTCACTCATTCCACTTGAACTTGGAGTCAATACAAGTTGATTCAAAGTTCATTCATTCCATTTGAACTTGGAGTCAATACATGTTGATTTATATTTGATTTAAAGTTCATTCATTCCATTTGAACTTGGCCTTATACCTAGTTAAGTCTTAGGTAGAAATATAGCACGGGTAGTGATTAAGTGAGAAGTTGTAAACGGAGGAGTTTAGCTTCGAATTGATACTATCGTAGTGGATTATCCCTGGATTAGTATACCTTCAGAGTAGGGGAGTTGCTTCGAACTGGGTTAACAATCTATGTGTGTTGTTTATTTCTTTTCAGTACTATTTTAATATGTTTATACCTTGTCTATTTATTTAAGTCATGTCAAATGTCCCAACATGTCATAGGAGAGTTGAGTTCTATTATACCAGAATTTCACTGTGGATACCTTCTTCTTGGTCTTCTGGATGATACTACACTGACATCTTGTTATTTCTTCTTTGGGAAACTACTTCCAAATTTTCCGACCCTACTTGATGAACCAACTTCTTTGGTCAATTGTCCCGCACATACACCTTCCTCGAGTCGCATTCCTATATTCACCATTTCGGTGAAATCATTTGATGCACTTGCAATCATTATTTCATAGTAAAAAGGGCCTAAGGTATTCATAAAGAGTTTGGTAATTTCCTTCTCCTCCATAGATGGATTAATTTGGGTAGCAACCTCGAGCCATCTTTATGCATATTACTTGAAACTTTCCTTGTCTTTCGGGGACATAGGTCGGAGTTGATCTCTATCCAGAGCCATGTCAACATTGTATTTATACTGGTAAACAAAGGCTTCACCAAGGTCTATGAATGTGTGGATTTGTGCGCTATCCAAACTCATGTACCACCTGAGAGCAGTACCCGACAAACTATCTTGAAAGTAGTGGATCAACAACTGGTCGTTATCAGTTTCAGTTGACATTTTTAGGCATACATGGTCAAATGACTCTCTGTACAAGATTTCCCTTTGTACTTTACCAAGTCAGGTACTTTAAATTTTTGCTGGTATCTTCACATTCGGCACTAGGCATAAGTTATAAGCATTCTTTCCAAATAGTTATTTCCCACGAAGGGCCTTAAGTTCTTTCTGAATTTCTTGAAACTGATTTTGAAAGTCATCCATCATTTCCTCAACACCCAAACATTCAAATGGTTCAACATGGTAGACTTGTTCATTTCCAAATGGGAAAATATGTACCATCGGAGAAGGAATAGACATCATAGGAGGAGGAATAGCCATCCCATGAGGGAGAGCAGATATCACATGTTGCATTGCAGGAACTTCAACAACTGGTTGATATCCCTTAGGCATAAAGTTGAGTGGCATGCCCCAAAGATATCCATGTGGAATTTGATACTGAAGAACACTGACTAGAGCTACTGAAACATGAGCGGTAATAACTTTAAAGATCACGGTGGTCTGGACTTGTGCTTGAGTTAAACAAGGATACGGGGGAGCCAGTGACTAATTATGAGCAGTCACTAAATTCTCCACCATAGTTGTCAATCTTTCCATTTTAGGACCGAAGGGTAGTCACCTCTTCACGAAGCTCGTAGTTTTCTTATTCTAGTGTGATGTCCATCTTTTCAGTGATTTGCCCAAGTGCAGTTTTTGACTCTATTGAAGAGAAAAAGCACGAGTAAGACTCTAGAATGCAAAGACTGTATGATGAATGATGAATGATATGAGACATAAAAATGATATATATATATATATATATATATATATATATATATATATATATATATATATATATATATATATATATATATATATATATATATATATATATATATATATATATATATATATATATATATATATATATATATATATATATATATATATATATATATATATATATATATATATATATATATATATATATATATATATATATATATATATATATATATATATATATATATATATATATATATATATATATATATATATATATATATATATATATATATAT